AAGTAAATATGATAAATAGTAATACTTTTCATTCCTATAATTTTATTTTTATTTTTAGTTGCAATTTTAATATATTTTTCATATAATATTGACTTATATATAGGTTAGAGGAGAATGAATGTTAAGTAAATTTAATTAGTGAATTTAACTAAATTCATTAATAGAATTTAATTAAAACATTGAATAAAACTTACTAATTTCATGAGTATGTGATTTCATGGATACATTAGTTTCATAAATGTGGTGGTTTTATATATTTTATAGAAAATATAAACTTATCCCACTTAATCCCATTGGGGGAGGTGGGACTAGATTGGGAAAGCGAGAGAAAAGGGGTAAAAAATAGAAAATATAACCTTATCCCACCTAATTCTATTGGGGGAGGTGGGATACATTTTATTTAATCTAGGTGAGACAGAATAAAATGTGGGATAGAGTACATCCCATTTTTCCGGCTCCCCAAACAAATATGCTGTGAAGGTTTGATATCAGGAAAACTCTGGTTTAGTTTGATAATGTTATTTGGTGTTGTTTTATAACTATAATTATTAAAAGTATTGTATTGTATTGTCATAAAAAATATTTTAGTGTTTAATAATTATGTTTCAAAAATATTATTTATTGTAAAATTATTTAATTAGACATATTATTATTTAAAATTAAATTAATTAATAATTTAATATATAATGTATGAAAAATGATTTGAGAATTTTATTAAATTCTTTAAAAATTCTATTAATTGTGGGTAAGATGATTTTTGTATTTCTTTCAAAAAAAAATAAGGATAAATAATTTACTAAATATATAAATTACAAAAAATTTTATAAATATGTATAAAATGTATTATAAACAATGTTGTCAAACTAATCCTCCATAAAGAAGCCCAAAATGGATTGTCTGAACTTTTCTGGTTGCACGTGAGCTAAATTGGCTCAATAACTTCACCTAATTCTGTCGTTTAAGTACTGAATATGTATATGTCAAGGATTAAATGAATGTATAAAAAAGACTTCATTTTAACTGGCCCTATATCATTGAAGATAGGGCCATAAATAAAAATGAACATAGAAAATGATGTGTGATCCGGCGAAACCTCATAAGTAAAATATATATACTATATAGGATAAGGGGCGGTCGGTCATATGTATAGCTGTCATTGATGTCTTTAATGTTAATTGGGAAAAAATAATTTATATATGTTCGGTTCAATATATATATTTTTAGTATTTATCTATTCAACAATGAATGAATTGTGAACCAGGGCATTGAACCTATTGGTTCACTTATCACACCTAAAAACTTAGCCTATGTAGTTCGGAAGTTTTACGCTCATTTATTACTTTAAAAAAAAAAACCCATTTTCTCAAAATTTCTCCCATGTTAAAAAAAAAGGAAAAAAATGAATGAATTGTAGTTTTGTAGGGCAAGTGCTCTGTTTGTTCATTAAGCTATACTTATAGATTATAGAATGGATCCGCCTACTCTAGGATATACAACATTAATTCATTAAGAAAGACCTGGCATGGACTTATACGTAAGAAAAAAGCATTTATGCTTACATTAGAAAGACAAAGGTGCCCTGCCAGGAAACTTCAATTGGAATCAAGCCAGCTCAGGGTGTGCGACGGGATCGCAGTATCTTTTCTTTTAGGTAATTTTCACTACAACGTCCTTCTAACGCCAACACTAGTGACATGTTAAATTTTTTTTCTTTTGGTAATTTTGATTACAACTTCCTTGTAACGCCAACACTCCTGACATGTTAAATTTGTTAGTGGACTCCACGTGTTCAAAAGCATGCTAATATGGACTAAAACAAATGAAAAATTAAAAAAAAAGGGCAAAATTAATTATTATGGATGAGTTGAACCCCTAAAATTAAAAATAAAATAAAATAAATCTTTTTTAAATTTAAAAAATATATTTGTTGTCTTCTTCAGAGCGCCCATTGGTCTCAGGCAGGACCCATCAGCGTCCATTGGAAATGAATTTCGTTTCAACTTCTTCCCATGAGTGATGAGGCTGATAGATCTGTTGAGAGATCTCTTGAGGAAAGAGAAAAAGAAGGAAAGAGGATTTAGAAAGGAAAGTGGTATGATTTTTGTAGGAGAGTTATGACTTATAAATATCCATGAATCAAGAGAGATGTTTAGGAGGATCGGGTCTAAGGATGATCGGGTCTTAGGTTTAAGGGTTTAATGCTTTGTTTTTAAGTTTTAGTGTTTGGATTTAATTAATTAGTCCAGAGTTATTCTCACCAACAACTTTAAAAAAAATCTATTATTTTTCAAAATTTCTCTATGTTGAAAAAAAGAAAAGAAAAGAAAAGAAAGATGGTTAGGATGTTAATGATTTAGGAATGAATTATTATAAAATTTCAACGTTCTATTATTCTAACTAGCTTTTGCTTTGCGTGACCACCAAACAGAGTAACTGATGGGACCTGCCAAATCTTACCCGACATAGAGTTGAGTACACAATAATTGAGGAACAAGGTTCTCTGATAAATATTTTCTGTAGGTAAGAATTCAATTCCAGTTATGGAGCAGAGATAGGTCCCCTTATTCTTATGGTAGCTGACACAACCCACCACAAGCGGTATGTATTCTTCATTGTTCCGAATGGTGAGCAATCTATCATTCTTTTGGACCAAACATTCTGCAATCTTTACTTCTCCATTATAAGCTGTATCACCGTTGTCTTACTGTATTTTCAAGGCTAAAAGTATAATTCCTGTCCATGTTTCCTTGACTTTGAGGTGGACTAAAGAAGTTAAATTGGTTAAAAGCACAAACCTTTACAGAACCAAAATTTTGGTAAAAGAATGTTGCAAGGCTAAAGGTATGGTACTAAATACCAAAATAAAAAAACTGAAAATATGGTAGACATTCTGGAAAGTGTTAAAGATGAAGAACCTGGATCAGCTGTGCAGTGCATCTCTGGACTCTTTGACCGAAATCGCAACCTTCTTTCTATTTTTAGTCATACCTTGCATTTGATTCTCATAGAATAGAACCCATGTGGTCTATGACCAATGTACAACAACGTAGCTTTATTCGCACTCCCCTGCGGGCTGCGGCCTATCCTTCTCCTTCTCCTTCTCCTTCTCCTCCGAAAGCTTACGTGCAGGCCGCGCCGCCTTCCAACGGCTGCAACAAGCATATCCAGAAGATTTTTAAACAAACACAAGTCAGATGAACAGAAAAATTTAAGACTGGTTTCATTTCACAATTAAGAAGTATGCTAGATATCATGCATACCAAGAATTCAGAAGCTGAATTCTTAGGATCACAAAGCGCAAACTGAGCAAAAGCCTTGTCCAGTTTTTTATTCAACGCTTTCTTCGCCTTCAACACCATCTCGCTAACAATTATTCAACTTCAACCGCCGATTATCTTCTGTTTATCGGCCAAGAAAACAAGAGGAAATCGCAGAAAATTTTTGAGGGGCAGAAAGAGACTAGGGTTTGGCAAGAAACGTTAATATGGGCTTACTGGTCTGGGCTCTTGTACCCCGACGTGTGATCTCTCAGTCTTCACTTAATGGGCCCTTTGCCGCGAGCATTGTTTTACTTTTTGTTTGCTTGTGATGGGGGCCGGTGTTAGGTGGCCTTTATTCCCTTTTATGGTCATAGTGGCCAGTGGGCCTGTGCATGTGCAGCTATTTATTTTGTAACCCTCGCTCTCTAATGTGGGCTTACTGTTCTGTGCTTATGTACCCTAATGTCAGTCTTCACTTAATGGGTCCTTTTTCTCATAGGATTTCTCTTTGTTTGCCTGCAATTGCAGCCCATATTAATTGGCCTTTTTCCTTTCTTGGGATCATAGTGGGCCTGTGCAGCTAATGTAATTTTCAATTTTTTTCATTTTTAAAAGTACAAGCATGACAAATGTCTCTTGGATTTGTTCTTTTTTTTTTTTTTTTCCCCATAAAAGCATGACTAATGTCTAAAGCAAAATGTTAGTAGACCATACATATGAGATATGGTATTCTTACAAATAATATTTACCCGTAAGTTTCATACATTAATTATTTAAAATTTTATGCAATATTTATAAGGGCGATATTATTTTACAAAGAAATACAAGTAATTTGACACCAACAAACACCTTTTAGAGAAGATGCTTCAAAGCTTGTCCTTTGACTATGTATCTCTTATACATTACCAGATTATTGAGCTAAACTTCAATCTATAAAAATCAGAAATGTTGAGACACTGCCACCCAGTCCCAAACAATGTGGCAAACAAAATGGAGATGGGAAATACAAGTACGTAAATTACAGTATCTGGCAGTACCTGGGAAGACTTCGTTTGTAACATCATGGTAAGAGAAAAAATGTAGGCCAGGATCATTGTTGCTGTTGAAATGATAAGTGCAGATACAGCAAACATTATTTGCCAGGGCAGAACTCTATGAAAATTATTTTTACCATGGGATAATGTGAGTATATTCAGGAATTGATGCAGTAAAGAGGAACACTGCATCACATATCATAAACCAAGAAAGCAATTTTCTGTGCAATAATTTGGAGATACCGGGTTGTTGATTTTTCCCTCCAACATCTTTCAAAAGTACTACGTACAAACATAACGGTAACAATTAGAGCAGCTGCGAGGATACAAGACCTTGCAGTTTCCTTGGCCCAGTCATTTGCTTCTTTAGTCATTTTGCGGTGTTCTCTGAGAAAAACTCGGTCTGGAGTTTTGCCATAAAGATTTTTGGCTCCTTGCTATCAGCATGGAAGAACACTCAACCTCCTGCCATTTCATAACAGTGTTATAGAAAAATAAATTGTTTAATTATAGAAAGAAAAGAAATATTAAATGAGAGTTAATTGACAATCTCGAACAAATTTATTTCCTATTACATAACCCAAGCTGGATAGAGATTATTAAGGCGACAGTCAGGTAACTTGGCTATTAGATGCAACACATTGTTTCCATCTTTATCTCTTAAAGATAGAAATGCTTTCTCCCCTGCATCAAGCCCGTAAACAAACTTTAAAATATCTCCCCGACTACATTTGATTGCAGAGATGAGTATATCTCTTGAGAGCTTTTCATTGCATACTTATGGGTTAACTTCAGATTATATTTCTTCGGTTAATAGTTGCGCGGTGCGTTCAACAGCATGCGGGGCCAGAATAAAAACAAAATCATAGAAAAAGGCCAGCTGAGTTGGTAGGGTCGACAATTAAAAAAATCCTAAACTGTATTCTTTTTAATAAAATTTAGTTAATAAAAAAGCTGCGTTGGAAATTGTCTTCTTCTCCACGCCCATCGCCATCGGTTTCCAAACATGGAAATGGAACTCCTCCCGAACATCATTACAGCAATAAAAGTTATTGTTACACTCTAAAATGAGGTCGTTGAGAGTATTTATAACCTGTGTATTTTCCCTTTGGTCCCATGGGTATTACGTAGCTAAAGTGTTCATATGTTTGGGCCGTCAATGGTCAACTGGGCCTATCCATTGATGTTGGGCCTACTTTTCAATAATTATCTATTATTATTCTTTAAATAATCTCCTGTAAAATTAAAATTTATAATTATAATACGCTAATAACACGTTATATCATAATTAAGATTATAATGTATTACGATATTGTAATTATATCATATTAGTAAAGTCAATCCAAATTACAAACTAGTACTAGAGGTTGATAAGTGCTAATCAACGGATTGACAGCGAAATTTTTATTTTTTTCAAAAATAAAAGAGGAAAAAAAAAAAAGGAAAACATAATTGCTGTCTAAGTAAGCATTATATTCGGATGAGTTTGTGGAGGGAAGATCTTAGAGCCAAGTAAACTGCATGCCATCCATTCTGTGAAAGGTGTACTGAGTCCCAGGAGAATGAAGCCTCTGGTTTCTTGCACACATTATATAGCTTTGCCCCACTCTTGTCCACACTCCCACACGAACCCACACAACATGGCTCCAGTGGATTCATCTTCACCTTCAAACTCCCTGTATGTATCGATGGATGGACAGAATTAACAGAACAACCATTAATTAATTCATGTCCTAATAAACTATATATACATAGATTAATTGCATTCAACACAACGAATGAATGTATAGGAAATTAAGAAAGATGTCAAGATACCTGTGTGCTTTCTGTGCTTCTTCATTGCAGAAAGGAATGCTTTGTAGAGATTAAAGATTTGTTGGTTCTCTTTCTCTGCTCGTTCAACATTTTTACTGCTTTTGCCAATATCTCGTTGTGAAACTTGGAGGTCAAGCTCCCAGCTTTGCTGCAATTTTTATATGAAGAAGAGGCAGTCGCCACAGGCAAGCATCCCATTGGCTCAATTGCAGTAACCGCGATTTTCCTCACTCCCAAGCTATGAATTCGTTCCAAGTTTGTAGCAAGCTGATCAATTAGTGATGTAGTAAAGGCAGGCAAATTCTAAAATAAAAAAATGTTAATTAAGATTAACAGATATTAATTAATAGTTTTGATTAGTTGCAACAGGAAATAAAAATTATATTAAAATAAATAAAATTGAGATTACATATGAATTCTTACATTATAATATATATGGTCAAAGTAAATGCATATCCTATGGCACTAATTATAAACTTAAATCTATGTCTATATGAAAATATAGATAACACCTACATCTAAAAATTAAATTAATAATTATAATTAAGGTATAAATAAAGCTATTAATGTAGAAAGAAAGCCTTTGCAAGCTAATAATTTTGATTATTTGTGATTAATTAATTTATTAGACAACCTACCAGTGACAGACAGCATATACCACAATGTCACATATAGATATAGTCAGCCGACCAACTCACCTTATTGTCGTTGTCATTCTTAACAACATAAGCAGAATAGTCATTCCCTGCTACTGACACCAGAGCGATGGAGGAATTTAGGTACTCTTCCTTGAAGACTTTTTTCTCAACCAATCGTTGAAAAATATCGATTTGGACTGTCATGTTAGGTTCTTTCACCAATGTATCAAATACGCCCGTCCCTCCGTGTGCAAAATTCATACCATATCGAAAATATGATTTTGATGCTATCTTCCTAAACTTATATGGTATGGTAGATCTGATATCAAGATACGAAGCTGCATTTTTTTATTCACAATTAATGAAATTATACATCAGAAAAATAAAATAAAATAAAATAAAAGAGAACAAAAACATGAAAATGAATGAACAAATGGTCACGCTGAGTATTAGAGAGAGAGCAAGCTTAATTACCAATGTAATCGGTCAAGACGCGACCATCGGAGAATCGACCGGTTGGTTTGCCGGGGAAAGTGATGCCATATGGTAGTTTCCATGAACTGGTGAACGATTTTTTCCAGTTGCCAGTATCAGCATATGAATCGCCAAAGACAAAAAGTGTATGAGGGCCATCATAATTCCTATTCAATCCCTTAACTGCACAAATACAATACAATAGACCAATTTAGAAAATATGAATTAAAGAAAATGCAAGGATTAATGTTTTAATACTGACCTCCAGAGATTATAGCCAAGAGGCAGAAAATAAGATAAGACAAAGAATTTCTTGCAGGGTTTGCCATTAATTGATAGAATAGTTGCCCAAAAAAAAAAAAAAAAAAA